TCACTTCAGTTCCTTTTTTCTCTCTTCTTGTTCCTGTCTTTTTTGTTGTTTTTCTCTTTCTCGTGTTGTGGAGGGTTTATAGGTCGGGGGGAGGCCAACCTCCGGTTTGAGTCCGCATTGCGACTCTCTACGTTGCTCCAGTCATTTTGTTGCCAAGGGTCGGCGGATATTGCTTTTTCCGCATGTGCACTTGGAAATGCTGGTGCGGTGATGGTTGTCGACTTGAGACAGCAGCCCGAACAGAAGAGGTATCAACCAATGCGGAAGATGAGTCGGTGATTGCACTTCAGCCGTGGTAGATTGCGCTATGACATGCGTGAGGAGCATGTGCACACACTGGATTGCGAGGCAATTTTCATGTTTTCCTGGACGTGCTCCGTGCTACGAACTGATGTTGCAGAGGCAGTGTTTAGCGTTAATTTACTTGACAAGTGTGGTGTCATACGGGCAGGTAGGTGTGCATTTCTGTGCATGTACATATCCTATCAGTTCAGGTCCGATTCTAGCCCTCCGAGATCAAGACAAGCTTCCCCTCAGCCACCATGGAGCCAACTTGAAATGGCGTCTTCTGCAACCTGATTCTGTCTGTCTTCCACAACCTCACCCAGTTGGCTTCGCTGCTGTTTCGGATGTATCCAGCAGCTTTGATGTGTCTGGCTGTCCAGTTTATTGGTTTCCAATCCTTTCGTGGTCTATATGGGTGCGTCGTGTTCTCAGGGTACCCCTTTCAAAGGACACCAAAAGGAAAACCGCCCATTTTTTGGGTCCCCCAAAAACAGGCAGGACACACCCTGAAATATTTTTCGTTGCTGGTTTCCTGTTGTCTATTTCAGGCTCCCTTTCAACGCCCTGAAATCGATCCAATTGGTTGGCTTCGGCTTCTCTTTTCGCGCGCGGAAAGGCCCGCTGCCAGCGCAACTGGCGCCAGCGCAACTGGCGCCAGCGCACCAGAGGCCGCTTTGGGCATTAAATTTGGCTTGTCAGGTGACTTGAGACTGTCGCTCGCACTATTTGGGTGTGGGTCAAAAATGGGGGGAACCCCAAAACGGAACCCTGGTAAAAGGAAACATGAACTAGAGCCCGCGGGTTTTTGGTGCTTGAAATTTTGACCCATACCCATTTGCCACGCCGTGAAATCATCCATAAAACTAGCATGGCGAGGAGGCTTCCTTTGCGCGGTTGTCCGACGAGCTGTTGTTGTGGGTTCCTGGGGCATGTTTCACCGGTTTTGGTCACCCTCCCGCCCCGAACACGAATGGGACTTATTTGCCCCCCCCCCTCCCTGTTTTGGGGAGAGGGATATTGGTTATCGAGGGATTGCGTCTGAAAACATGTTAACTCCGAGTATCCCTCCGCTGGCTTCCCTGTCGGATGCAAGGAGCGGTCGAAGGCCAAGGTGGGGTTTGGGAAGACCCCCATGACTTGTTGGGCCCCGTCCATCCGAGTCTTCAGGTGTTTTTAGCGGTTTTGAGCGGTTTTGAGTGGGTCTTAGTTGGTGAAAGGTGGTGGAGGTTTCCAAATTTCACCCACTTCCGTCGCAGCTCGGCCAGAAAAAACGGGCGGCCCAGATGCCTGAAACGGGGCCGCCCGGCGACGACTTCGCTTCGGCTTCGCGTGCCAGGTGCCCCGCCCGGTGCCGCAGGGCCTGCTGGTGCTGCCTCTCCTCAGGCGACACGACCCGATCCGCGAAGCCGCGGTTGCGGTTGCGGGCGGGCGGCCTGGCCACTGGGTGTGGGATCTGCCGATTGGGCTGTGGCTCAAAAATAGGTACCCAACATGGCACCTTGGTAAATGGAACCAACAACAAAAACCTGCGTAACCCTGGCTCTTAAATTCTGAGCCACACCCATTTGGGTATGGGTCAAAATTAAACACTTGGGCAAACCGCAGGTTTTCGTCCTTGGTTCCATGTATCGATCGGGCAAGTTCCATTTTGGGGTTACCCTATGTTTGACCCACACCCATTTGGCCATGGGGGTCAAAACCCAAATCGTACCCCCAGTGAACATCCCAATCCAACCTCTAAATTATGCTCAGCTTGGGTTACGCGGGTTTGAGTCTTTGGTTCCATTTGCCAAGGTGCCATGCTGGTACAGTTCTTTTGACCCACAGCCACTTGTTTGATCCGTTTGGGTGGCCTCATTTTTCTCAGCCGGGAGTTAATTATGTTTTTTGGGGGGGCGAGCCGCATACTTTTTTGCTTGAAGGGAGATGGACGCCAGGGCTCACAAGTGTGGTGGGTTCAGAAAGGACGGTTTCACGGAAGCCGGCGTTGGAGGCTCGTTTGGAGGATTCTCTGTTTCGGTTGGGGAATTTCAGGCATAGGCCGGTGGTTGCCTGCTGAAAATGGCCCGGTGCCGTTTTTTCGCCAAGGACAATGAGCTTCCCGCCATTTGGTTTGGATTGGTTCCACCAGTTTCCCTACAAAAGCCGCGGGTCCAAAGCCCAATCCAAAGCACCAACTTAAATGGTTGCAATGACAATGGGTTTCAAAACCGTTCAGCGAATAGGACACATTTGATTCTGCTGGATGCTGTGGGCGGAGTGGTGCGAATTGTTCTGCGGGAATCGATCCCAGGTCGTTTCTGCAAGGGGCTTCTTGGTCGATCGATTCCGAGTTTCTGGCTGCTCTTTTTGTCGTCCAGTTGCTTGACTGACAGTTGCTGCTATTTGGCCAGCACCTCCTCAAAGACAGAGAAAGACACGCAAACCAATCTCATGGGAGTGTGCCAAAATAGCGGGGCCCTAAAGTTAGTGGTTTTCCTTTTTCCTTCCCTTGAACACAAGCTGAAACGGGTACCCTCAAAAACACACAAAAGCGGCTCATGCCCTTTGAGTACACGTCCAGTGCGCCAGCACCGGTCGAGAGCCTCGTCTTTGCACTCCTCAAGTTTCCCACGGCATGCAATTTGCATTGGCCGCGCTTTGGAGTCGAAAATTGATGGCGATTTCTGGGGTCGGGGCTGCGTTCGTTTTGGCACCCGGGAAATGTTGACCCCATATTAATCAACCAACCAGTTTGTTATATAATATGTTGACTCCATATGAATCCACGTGGTTTAATCATCTACCAGGGATATCCATCTGTTTCGCCTACACCTATGGAGTCGCGCGGCGCTTCGGACTTCGGACTTCGCAGTTCGCCGGCCGCGCTTTGAAGAAGTTTGGTTCGATTTGGGTGTGGCTGAAAAAGATACAGAGCTACCTGGAGTCTCCATGGTTGGTCATTAGCCAAAATTAAGGGGTCATGGACCCATGTAAGGGTCATGGAGACTCTAGGCAGAGCAAACCGCAGGTCTTCGTCTTTGTTTCCATTTGCCAGGGCAACCCATTTTGGGGTTACACCATTTTTGACCCACAGCCATTTCCCCTTTTCCTCGCGCTTTCGCGAGGAAGCCCGCCTTCCCCGGTTTCCGGCAGACGCTCCAGGCAGGGGCGCCTTGCGAGGTGCCAGGAGGGACCGGAGTGGAGCCAGCCCGAAGGGAGCCGAGGAAGATCTTGTCAGAAAGGTTTTATTCTTTGGAAGCTGCGGTGTGAAGCTGTTGTTCCATTGTTGGCCCCCAGTTATGGACAGATTCCATCTCGGCACTTGTTCTGAAGCTGAAACACTGAAGTGCTTCCTGTGACGACGTTTTTGGGCGCAGAATCCTTGCAGAGGGAGGCTTTTCCGGAGCACACTCTCACAGCTATGGGGCGTTCACACACTCCAGCCATCCCCTCACTGTTGAGGTTTTTTGGTTGGCTCAGGGGGAGCTTCCACTTAACCCACAAGTTCAACCTTTTTGGCAGCGGATCAGTTTGGGCAGCCCACATTTCAGAGAACTTGCCGAATGCCGCGTGTCACGAACCCTCCGCCCCGATCTGAGCGTCACCGTGGCCTGGTGGATCTTTGGCTCTGCCCATGGCCCGAGCTTATTTTTGTTAACCTACGGGGTGAAATTAATTCTGAGAGTCGAAGTGAGGTTTCGCTCCCAGCTGCGAAGAAACCCGCTAGTCTCCGGGTCCAGGGTCTTTGATCCATTTCCAGCGGGCCTCAAAAGAGATGGCCGGCGCCCGGTGTCGGCCGTGCTCCGTGGCGTTTTGAGAGGTCTACTTTTTAGTCGCTTCCCTTTTTGTCCTTCTTCTTTTTTTTTCCCCTCCTTTTTTATTTATTTGTCTTCTTTTTTTTTTTCCCCGCAAGGCTCGTTGGTCCTCTGTTTCCATTCTTTTGGCCCGAAGACGCCCATCGCTCGTCTTCGAGCGCTCGCTAGTTGCGCACTTGTCAACCACGGTTGCTCCTGGCGCGAGGTCAGCGAGCCGGAGATCATCAACTTCTTGCAGAAGGAGAAGAAACAGGCCACCGCGGCCAACCGAGCGAGCCGAATCCATGCGAATCGATGCTTTTCTTGCGAGCGGTGACTGTCGGGTTGTTTTGCCGACGCATGCGAGACCTTCCAAGTGAAAAACACCAACCTGGCCTTGTTCAAACACTTTGTGAAGGAATGAGCATTGGCGGTTGGACTGTGCCTGTTGCTTGGTATCGACAGGCAGCTCATTGGCACGAAAGACTCTTCAACTACATGTGGCTTAGGCTAAATTGAGGCAACCCAGTTGGACATGTTTGAGAGGTCCCAGCAATGTTTCAGCATCCCCATCGAAAGTCAATGAGCATACTGTGGATGGACGAAATCCTGCACCTCGTAAGAAACCCTGGAATGGTGATTCCTTTGTACTACCAACAAACAAATGGCTGCCAGCATGGTTTCAAAGTGGTGCGAACGGATTGCGTCCATCAGTATGGGCTTGTCAGAATGGGAGAACCGGTTTCCATTGGTTTCCCAGCCCCAAAAGGCTTTTGGGTTCCCTCAAACACACTCCCATATACCATTTTTGGATAGGAAACTGGAAACTGGAAAGGATCTGGATGAAGAAGTCAGGAGGTTTCAAAGAGAAACCCCGCTGGCACCTGGACCCGAACGCAAGCGACCTGGACCTGAGCTCGAGGAGAGCGCGCACTCTTTGGGGATCCCCCGCTGCCGGAAACACGACGGCGCTTTTCTTTGTTAGGGGGGTTTGTTTCGTCACTTCGGTTCCATCTTGTAGTCATCGGACGCCCTTGAAACGGGTGGCCTTGATCGAATGGGCGCTTTCCATTCTCCGTGCAATGTGGAGTTGGGGCACACCCCAAAAAAGGCTGGTCTTAACATTAGCTTGGCTTTAAAACCATCCGTGGCGAATTTTTTTTGGCACTCCCAGAGATGCTGTTTTTTCTCTCCTTCGCTTGGCTTTCAATCAACCCTAAAAAAGGTGTCCCCAACAGACTTTCGGCTCATCGGACCTGAACCTCTCTGCGAGCCATGCGTGCAGGGCGATTACATCGGCGGCTTCTTGATCAAGGAGCCCTTTGCCCTGTGGCCCAGACCTTGCGACGCTTGTGGGGCTTTTGATAGGCTTCGATACCCCTCCCACTAACATGGATTGCAGCTGACAATCTGACAGGGGGTCCCTCCAAAAGGAAATTGATCTTGCAGGTACCGTCCAGGTGCCAGGTTGGGAGGAAGCGTATCTTGTAGCACACGTCTCGGGATTTTGAATGCAAAGTTATTGTCGGTGGGTCCCCCAAAAAGGCCATGGATCCTGGCCGGCTTGGGCCGGCTTCTACCTTTGGATCTTGCTTGTTCTTGGCAGAAAGGGTGGAGTGGTTTGCGAAGCGATGGGCAAAGGAATATCTGAGAAGGCAGCTTTAGTGAGTGGCCCTTTGCCGGGACATAGCTGGGATGTTGGGTCTGGCTAGCTTTTTTGCTTTCCAGTCCGGCAAAGAACACATGTTGCAGGAGACTAACTCCAGCCTGCTTGTTTCCTCCTGCAAAGACCCCCCACCATCTCAGAATCACGATAGTCCTTTGCCTTGGCGACTGCGGCACCCGTTCCGTTGCATCTGGACCAGTCTGATACATGGACCCCTGAGCGTGCCACATCGTCCAAGTCATAGGTGTCCTTTTTGGTTGTTTTGGTAGCAAAATAGATGGCCCTGGTTTACCTGGTGGTTTAATCATCTACCAGAACCATCTATTTCCCCCAAAAGGACACCTATGATCCAAGTTGCATGCCAGGCTGCTCCTCTCCAGAGGGGTTTTGGGGAGCAAGAGCAGCTTAGCAGATTTGCGAAGCTGAGCATCAAAGCCTGGCTTCGGAGCAAAGCGGCCCTCCAATTCTGGAGGAGCGATACTTGTTCTTCTGCTTGTCCTTGACTTCCCTAACCATTTCTGAACGAACATCCAGGTGTTTGCGGGTCCCGGGTTGAGTTGTGCAGGTGGGGCAAGTCCCGGACTCATTCACCAGGGTTCCTGCTTAAAGGGGCAGGGAACTTAGTAAGTGGTTAGTAAGACTGGTTATAACCCACTTAAGGAACTTCTAACCATGGTAAGTCGGGTATACCCAGGCTAACTAACCACTTACCTGACGTACCCTGCCCCTTGGTCCGTGTTTCAAGACAGGTCGAAGAGAACCATTTAATCAGCAAGACACGCTCGCCTGAATCCCCAGAGGCGCCAAAGCAATTCCCTTCAAGTGACCAACGGTGGATGACGTGGAAGGGTCTGATCAGCCAACCGCGGCTCAGGCGGATGGCGATGCTTCCGCAGGGGCTCCCGGCGGCTTCGGAGGCGTCTGAGGCATGGCTTTGGATTTTGGGTTCCAAGGGAATTCCAAGGTGACCCTAATGCGTTGTCATTTTCGAGGGTCCGATTTTCTAGTTTGAGAAACCCCTGCCTCGCGGATCGATGGGACGCAAACCAAAGGAACCAACACCCACATGCGCATTTTTGCGCATCAGGGGCTCTAGCCGGAAACGTCGGTGGGTTAGGACCGCGTTTTTTTCGGTGTCGGCCCTCAGCTTAGGGTGTAGTCCCCGAAATCACGACCGAGAACTAGGTCCCCCAGAAGTGCCCTTCTCTCCCCTTTTTCTACAGCAAAAAGTTGATACCCATATTCTAACCTCTTTACTGGAGGACCTAGGCAAGAGGGTCCGAGTCCCCTGCAGTGCAATCTCTGGCTTGACATTGCATATTGAAGGCTGATGGTGCTCTGCTTATCACTGCCATGTAGTGGGATTTGCCAAACCACATTTTGGGCGACTTGACACCGCCCGGAGAAAAGCCTCTGCGATGACTGTATCAATTATATTTTGCGATGGAGACATGGCGCCAACCAGAACAAACCATGCCGCCAACCTAGTGTAAAACACTTCGGGTTTGATCAATATTCTTGGCCCCGAAATGACCATGAGTAACTTGTCCCATGCAATTGAAAGATCATCTTTTTCGTATTTTCCCACCGATGGTCATCCCATGATTCGCAAAGGACCTGTTGATCAACCCCCCGTTTCTTCCGCACAAAATACTCAAGGCCCGGTCAATCTTCCAGAGGTAGTCGGATGGAGAGTTTGCTTTCAGACCTGAGCGAACGTGGCTGGACTGATCCACCGAGGGCCTGCGGCGGGAAGCCGGCAGAGTGAGCAGTGCCGGGGACCGAACGACCAGTGGAAGCACTTGGAGCCGAGTCTTTTCGGGTTGGCTGCACTGGGTGTTCCTAAGAAAAGGGTCTGTCAATCTTTTGAGTTGGCGGTTTTTAAAGGGAAACCCAGGGGCACCTGGTCTTTTTCCAAGATCGGTTTGGTACCTGCCTTTCTTGGCGGATTTAACCCTCAGAAAGGCACCGTGCCCAGTTTTGGGGGATCGAGTTGAAGCGAGGTTTGTCCCTTCCAAACCCTCCGTGGCACCACTCCTTTGAGAAAGATCCAATGGATAGGATATTCTCACGGCTTGCACATTCATGGTTGTTATGGGGAAATTTGTCGGAATTGACCTTCTGAGACGAGCCCATTTCACCATGGTTGTGGCAATGTTCCCGATTAGGGGGCGTGGTTGTAGTCCATTGAGCTTCAGGGATGGCACATGTTGGTATCGCAGGAGTGGTTTCCACAAGCGTGCATACCATGAGCACATAACAACCCTTTGCCGGTAGAAGCCCCGTTTTGAGGGAGCGGGCGTGTCCGCAAGCACGTTGGCCGCAAGTGCGCACTTAGGAAATCTGTAGTATATCTACTAGCGGGATGTAGGCATCAGAAAGTACATTCTAGCAAATGACACTCAACATGCTTAGCATTCATTGGAGGAAGCTTCCTGCAGTACCCCAGTTTGTCCCGGTTGGCAAAGAAAAACATCGCACCAATTCTGTGGCCTCTCTTTTTTTTGTCCACCTTTTGCGCCTGCACCGCGCCAAACTTAGTGCAAATGGGTGTGATGTTTGGTCCTTCATGTGAGACTGGCTCTGGACCTGTGTTGCTTGGCTCAAGAAGGTAGAGTTTGAGACCCGCGGTATTTGCTTGCTATATGTCTCTCGCGTTTCTCCGCGAGGCGGGAGAGAAGCTCGTGGTGCCCCATAATTGGTGGTTTGGGTTGGCGGTTTGGGTTGATTTAAGCGTCTTCTAGAGGATAAAGGGGACACCACCACCTATCATCTAAAACACCAGACCAAGCTGCCAGGGGAATTTGACGTGGGGATGTTTGGATTGTAAGTTTTGGGACCCCTCGAAGCCACCGGAACGCCCGTTAAGAGACAAAGTATGTTGAGGTTCCGTGATGGTGGATGTCTGATTGCATGTGATGCACGTGGTTGCGCCTCACATGCTCAACTTTCTGCCTTTTTCACCACTGGCACCCGCCACAATTGCTGCGGTTGACAGGATTTGCCCGCCCCTCGCCTGAAACAACATTTGGGTTTGTCTCAAAATAGGAACAGACCCTCCCAATGCTTGGTTTCCTTTTTGGCTTCCCTTTAAACAAAAATCCCAAAAGGCACCTTCAAGCAAGACACCCCCTGTTTGTGGCACAAAGTGACTTCCATTTGCTTAACATTTTTTCCCTTGTTGGTTTTAAAAGGAATTTCTCACTATTGGACATATTCTATTTTTTCCCAGGGGTCTTAACCAAGTGTAAGGTGAACCCATGGCGTTTTTGCTTTGCGGCGGCCTCCGCGGTGCGGCGGCCCTCCGCGCGCGCCTTCGCCAGGCTGCTGCAGCTGCGAAGGGCAAAGCGGAAGCAGCGGAGGTGTTGGAGGTCGCCACGCCGCAGCGGGAAGGCGAGGCCTCGGGATTTGTGCGGAGTGCGGGATTTTTTTCGGGTGATTTTTTGGAAGGGCGGCTACAAAGGAAAACCCATAAAGGAAATTCCACAAAGGAAAGCCCATAAAGGAAAGCCCACAAAGGAAAGCCCATAAAGGAAAGCCCATAAAGGAAAACCCATGTTTGGGGGATTTTGAAAGGTCAATTAGAAAGAAAAACCCATATTACTGTGGGTCAAAACCAATCAGATCACTGGTTCGGACATTCTGCTCTCACTTGATTTCTGTTTTTTTGTCTAAAAGGTAAGCCATTGGCCACGGTTGCTCTCGGATTTCGGCCCCGCTCCCTGGGGTCGGACCGGATTTTAGGCTTTCAAAGGGTTTGGAGCATTTGGGTGGCATTTTAGTACCAATGGTATCACTTTGGGGTAGGTGCAATAATAGTTTTAGTTTGTTATAGTGGGGCCATATGTGGGATTTCCATAGTTGAAACAGGCTGGTTTGAGACAACCATATTCGAGGATCAGGCAAACGCCACTAGGACCCTAGCACGCTAGTGCCGCTCGGGAAGTACACCGAGACTTGTTTGAGGCAAACACGAGCAATTTTTGGCATGCGCTACCAACGGCAATGAAAACACGCCACAGCTCCAAATGTTTTTTTTTTGGTTTGAGATCTGCAACAACAATTGCCCCTAATTCCGTCTTACGTATATCATGTGGGTTGTGGCTGGGGAACGCAGCCTATTGAGAGCTTTCGTGAGCCTTTGAGCGGATTTTCTGATTTCTGTCCTGCGAACCTGGAGACTTCAGAGAGAACGGTTTGACCCCCCACTGGCGCCAGGGTCCCAGCAGAGGGGCGGTTTGTGGGCCCACATGAGCCAAAACCAGGGGGTTCGTGAGGGGCCAAGGTGCTGGCAGGCGCCTTCTTCATGTTCCTTGCACATCTGGGTAGACCATTTTGATACCAGGTGACTCCTTAAATGGTGTCCACGGGTTTTCCTGTTGGTGTCCCGAACACCCCCCAAATAGCAATATCCATATTCCTTCCTCAATATTTTGCTTGTGGCTCAAAAGCCAGGTGCACCAAGGCTCCCAGGTTGGCATTCCCCGCGTTGGCCTTCGACGCCAGTCAGCCAGTGGCGTCGCATCGACGACATCGGCAGCGGCCTGTTCCTCTGCGGTGCGGCGGCCTTGGAGAACAAGGCGGGCAGGCAGCGCGCGGTTCGCGGCTTTCGGTTTGGGGCGGTTTGGGGCGGTTTCGGTTTTGGGCGCCTGTCCGACGTTTTCTTTTTTTTTTTGGGGGGGGGTTAGCCAACCACTTTGGTTCAAGGGAAGCCAACAGGCCCAAGCCTTTGGTTGGTGAGGGGAAACCAAACGGTGACCCATTTGCACCATTTTCACAGGTCCGAGTCCTATTTTGAGCACCCTTTCTTCAGGGTCAGATACTTTGAAACCGAGCCAGATGGGCTTGCCTGTTTTCGATGCTTCCAAGTCCCCCTTTTTTGGTGGCTTTAAAGGGAGACGGAGAAGGAAAACCATTTTGGGGGTCCAACCTTTAAAGCAAACACCCATATTGGAATCAGAACCTACGGGCCTTTCTTGAGTTCTTGGTGCCAAGGTGATGACAGCTTGCGCTGGCAAGGGCAGCGTCTTTTTTTGGTGACCTCTCGGCCCAGCATTCGTGCGTCAGCACGGTCCCAAGTGAAACTGGGAATTCGTTTCTTTTCGTGCAAGAAGCCCAACATTTTTTCGGGACGCCGTTGCAGTTCTGTCGCGTTTCCTGTACCAGAGCTGGTCTTCCCCACATGGATCTTCCTGGCGGAGGTCGATCCGTTCCCCCCCCTCCCCCCTCCCTCCCCCTCCACCCCTCCCCCTCCACCCCTCCCCCCCCTCCCCCCCCTCCCCCCCCTCCGTTTCTCCCCTCTCCTTCCGATTCGATTCGAGAAAAGTCGGAGGCGGAGCTGGAACGCTTGGGCATCCGCGGGATCTTGAACTGTGCCAGGGAGGATCTCTACAGCCGCGCCCCAGCCGATGGGCCGATGGGCCGAGGGGCCGATGGAGGGGGGCGAAACCCCTTCCCCTCATTGGGCCCCGGTGGAATATTTTTGGCTCCGGGGGGTTTGGAGCCCGAGTCTTCCTGTTCGGAGGGCAGAGATTGGGATGCCTCTGAGATTGACTTATTAAAATAGTTTTTTTCTTATTGAAGGAGAACTTTGGACAGTTTCAGCTGAATTGGATCCTGTTGTGAATCATGAATTGGCCGCTCCGTGTATTCCTGTCCGATCAATGATCTTTGGGGGCAGACTTTCCGAAACCGGACGAATGTGGTCAAAGATTCTTGGCCACGCGTGACGTGACGTCAAGTAATCTTGTGGTCTAATTTGGATCATTTGCACGGCTCAGTGTTTGGCTGGGGTGTGGCAGTTTTCGGCTCATCCAGGAAGGGGCAAGCATTCCTTGACTTTGGTGCACTTTGCTTGGATGTTAGGACTTTCACTTTTTGCCACCTCATGAATTTTCCATTCAACCACCAAAGGTTAAACGTTTAGCAGGGGAGCAGAAAGCCACCGAGAATTCTTCATGCCGCTTTCGGGTCAGGTTTTTGGGTCGTTGCCGTTTTTTCCCTCCGTAAAAAGGGGCCCCCTTTTGAAGTCAAGTGCCAACAAAGATATATTTTTTTGGTCGAGATCCACTGGAGGCTTGGGGAACAGAGCGCATGCGCACTGGGCTTGCTTTTCGGCATCTTCGGCTATCCTGTCTGATGTTGCTTTAAAGGGAAATCCAAAAAACCACCAGAAGGTTTCCCCCCAAGCGGTCATCCCGAGTTGAGCAGCGGTCATCCCTGAGGCTCCTACCATGAGGCCGAGCCACTTCGAAGCCGGCTTGAGGGCTACACCCTGGAAGTCCTGGATGCTGATGACATCGAGGAGGGTACCACAAAAAAGAAACAACTTATTCATAGCTATCTAGAGAAAAACAATAAGTAATTTGTAATCATACATGCAGGTATATAGAAACGTAGATATGCATATGCCTACACCTATCTATTCATCCATCTATCCATCCATCCATCCATCCATCCATCCATCTATCCATCCATCTATCTATCTTACTTATCTATCTTATCCATCTTATCCATCTCATCTATCTCATTATCTTATCTATCTTATCTATCTTATCTATCTTATCTATCTCATCTATCTCATCTATCATATTTATCTTCTCTATCTTATCTATCTTATCTATCTTAGCTATCTTAGCTATCTTATTTATCCTATCTCTCTTATCTATTCTATCTATCTTATCTACCTTACCTATCTTATCTATCTTATCAATCAATCAATCTGTCTGTCTGTCTGTTTGTCTGTCCGTCTGTCTATCTATCTATCTATTATG